TTTATTCAAAAAATAATACATAATACATTCAATAATGATACAGATATTGTTAACATATTTTGCACAATGGTCGCTAGCATTCGAACGACTCGCGCCGAGGATACAGCGGGTTACCGCTCTCCTTGGCCGAATTCTACCGAACATCGGGGGGCCCAAAATCAGAGTCCGCCACCTCTATGCAGGTGTGGTCAAGTTCGTAGCTCGAACGTAGTTCGTACGGATCCCCGATCTGGTCTAAGAGTCTAAAGAAGAAAGGAAGAGAAATACTGCGCCGGATACAGCGCGTCATAGCCATTAGAGCTGTGCGTACGTATCAATCGGTATCTTTTCAGGCGGCCGTGGCTCTTGCTGGGATAATTCCCCTCGACCTTCAGGCCGCGGCAGAAGCCAAAGTCTACCGCCGGGTGTGGATACTGAGACAACGCGGCAATCCGACGCTGAAAGAAGAAATCGGCAAACTACGGAAGACAGCACGGGAACAAGCTCTGCGGAAATAGAAAGCAAAGCTGGAGGAATCGGGAGCCGGAAGCAAACGGGCAACCGGGGAAATCCTTGCCAACTGGGACCAGTGGCAGGACTGCACACGACGCCCCAGGCTAACGTATCGCGTAACATAAGTGCTCACCGAGCATGGATGCTTCGGTGAGTTCCTATATCGAATCGGAGCGGAGCACTCAACTGAGTACTTCGAATGCGGAGCCGAGGTGGATTCGGCTCAGCACACCACCATAGAGGATTGCCCTGCGTTCATCGAACGAAAGACCGTGCTCAGGAGAGCTATAGGAGAAGACCTCGCTCTGGAGGCACTAGTGCGAGCCTTTATCGCGGGAGAGGCACAGCGGAAAGCGGCCATCACTTTCCGTGAAGAGGTGATGACCTACAAGGAAGACAAGGAAAGGAACCGGAAATGAACGGATCTGGCCAGAAGAGAAAGACGGCGCCGAGAGGCGACTGTACGTCGCACCAGGGGACCTAATGTTCTCACGGCGCCATAAAAGAAGATAGAAGAAAGAAAAACGAAGAGGGAGGTCGCGAGCTGATGCCAGTCAGCTTATACGGCCACCCCCCTCGAGGGGCTCGACACTGGGAATGGTCCCCGGAGTCGCTAATTTAGCCATAATAGGATGTGTGAGAGGACCTCGCTTCCCCTCCGAAGGGTGGGCCGAAAGGCAAAGGCGCAAGTAGGGACGCGGTCACATGATCCTCTGGAGATTCCCAGCGATTCCCTCTCAAGCGCAAGAGATAGGCCATCGCGGAGGTTTTAATCAGTAAAAATCCGCAATATCTGGCACCCCCGCACAGGGGGTCAGGTGTCTTTTGAAAATTTCCTCCACCTTAAAGAAAAAAAAAGAAGAAGCCCCTGGTCGCGCGTCCCCTTTTCACGTGTCCAACCTGTTTCTAGAAACGCAATTAGAAAAATCAACAGTGAAATTGGTACAGATGGAACCACTTGTTTCTGATTTCACTTTTCGTTTTTTCGAATTTAGTATCGCAGTCACGATCGCGGATAGGTCGTATGTTCCGAAACGAACGTTTATGTAAATATTGCTCGAGCACGCATATGCGAACGGACAACGGTCATTATGATCGATGGTCGTCCATATGTATTGGGAGTAGCTTTTGCTATTTATCTTTTCATTTCATCAAAACAAGTTATTTTTTGGTTTCGCGATTAGAAAGACTTGAGCTTAGATTTAAGTTTCAGCGGGTACCGCGCCCAAAAAAAAGAATAGGTCTAGCAAACTGATATAGAAGAGGACTGCAACAAATGGCTTATCACCCTCTGGATGAGAAATCCATCTAAATCATGGGAAGACACTTGTTACTATTTTACCGCTATGCTCGATTTTAGAATTTATAGCATGTTGTAGTAGTACTTTTTTTTCTTTGTGGCTGATATAGGTCTACCATCATAATTGGGCAAGTCTTGATTTTTTCTTAGTGTTTCGAGAAATTAAATTATTATTAATTTGTTAGAATTATGAATTAATCAAGACTCTGCGTTGTATATTGAATCTGTAAGAGAAAATTTATTTCAGACAAATTGCATTAGAGTTTGCTATAGTGTTGCAAATTGTAAA